AGGTCATTTAGTCCTTTCCCCAGCCCCATTATTATCCCCATTTTACAGATGAGAATACTGAGGCCTAGAGAGATTACCTATCTATTCAAGATCACACAGCTAGTAAGGGGCAGAGCCAAGGTCAGAACTGAGGCATAGGTGCATCTAACTTCTACACTAGAAAGGGCGCGTTGCAATGTTTGGGCCATAGCAAAAACAAAAGCATTTGTGAGGATTTTTCCAGCCCTGTCCTAGACTAACGGTGTCCTGGCCAGCTACAGTGAAGACTGTAAGAGGTTTGGGATTGTAATACTCATATAGGAAGAGGGGTTTTGCCAGTCTACCAAAGTGGGTGGATGATAAACAAGACATCTTAAAATCATCTATTTGACCCAGCCAGCACCACGTCTGGAGGGTATCTAACACTTACACTTTGGTGCAGGGCCAGCTCCCAAGCAATCCTACCCCAGTCCGCCCCTTACTAGGTCTTCTGACTCACCCTGGCCCAGCCCATGTGCATCACTTTGGTGCCTGAATCAGAATCCCAACATGAAACCCAGTTCACCCATGATGGTACAAGTGAAGAGACTTTAATGAAGGAACTGCGTATAGAGGTGTCATATAGGTCAAGGGAACAAACGGGATGTTGAGGCACCCAGAGACCAGCAGCAGTGGGAAGTTGTTACTACCCTTTCAAGCTTGGAAGGAGCAAGGGGAAGAGAGTAGTACCAGAGCTTGTATATGCTGGAGCCACTGAGGATGGAGGGGTGCAGCCAAGGCCAGAGGTGTGCTGCAAAGAGGAAGAGAGAGGGGAAGAAATGTTCTGGATTCTCTCTCCTCCCACCTTCCAGTTTCCTGCCAGTGCCCCTCACTGCTGAGACTGATCAGAAGCCAGGCAGCAAGGGAGCCTCATTGATAGAATCCACTGGGATCAGCCTGCCTGAGCCCATAGCAGGGCAGAGAAAGGTGGAGAGTGCGTGGAGGAGGGCAGGGGTGAGCAGAGAACAGCCAGCACAGCATTGCGTTGGTTGTTTCCTTCTATGCCAAGCAACAGTAGGCAGCTCTTCTCTCCTCCCCACTTCAATTCTATGTGCCAGGCTGCAATTTCCAATCCTGCAGTATTCACTCCCTTGGCTCTGAGTTTTCTGACCCAAAGTTCTTTTTCCAAAGAGGCTTCCCTGCTATGAGGAAAATGGAAGACTGGCCAACAGGAGGGTCCTGGCATGTTTGAGAGTCAACTTTCTGGATGTGTAAGCTGGTTTTCAGGAATTTGCACTACTCTGGTGTGAAACTGAGTGTGAGCCATGTCTGGGTGATGGAGGACAAGAAGTTACCCACTGAGAGAGGCAGTGGTGAGCCCAACATTGCCCAATATTGCCTCCTGAAGAACAGTCTGTGATGTTCACACTTTGAGCATCTGAATGTCAAAGAAGGCCCTAAGCTTGTGAAGCCTTTGACATTGTGAGAATAGACTCTGGAGCCAGATTGCTTGGATTCAAATCTAGACACCACCACTCACTGGCTTGGTGACCTTGGGCAAGTTATTCCACTTCTCTGACCCTCCTTTTTCTCATCTCTAAAATGGGCATAGTAGTACCTACCTGAAAGAGTTGTTGTGAGGATTAATTGGGTTAGTCCACAAAGTGGATTTTAGAACCCCATACGCAGTAGTGACCATATAAAAACAAAATTTAAAAACTCTGCAGGGCTAGTATCCAATCAAATGAGGATTTTTACCAAAAATTGGTGAAAATGTATAAAGTAGAAGGAAGCGTAGGCAGGTAGTAGAAAATATAATGAATCAGGTTAAGGGGGAATATATCTATCTGCATATATTTTTGCATTTTGGTGTCACTATGAATCAAACTGCTGTGGTGAAACTTGATATCACAAAATTGGTGAATATTTATTAACAACTTGCTCTGGTTCTCCTAGGGAGAATCTCTATGATTTAATACCACACCCCATTCCCATCTAAAGCTTTTCCAAAAAAGAATCCAATTCACTTGGTGTTTAATGAAATATTTGAGAAGATGTTTTAAAAATCAGTTGAAGAAAATTTCCTAAAATCTTATTTTCTCCATTGAAAAAATTAGGAAACAATATTCCTGCATGACGAGATTGTTTTGAAGAATAAACATAAAGTTTCTGGCATGTGGTGGTCATTAAATATTACTTCTCATTGTTAAGTTTTATGATTTCATCTTTGAAAAATTTGATAGGGTTATATAAGAAAATATACTCTGTATTTTTACTACTTTGAGGAATTGGATTCTATTTTTGGATAATTAAACTGTAAGCCTGTTAATGAATATGGGATTCATTTATATAAGTGACCACTATAGATGGAGGTATACAGTACTAGTATGAAATCATCTTATCAACAACTTAAATCTTAATTTGTCTCTGGATCCAACTACCAAGATACAGAAAATACAGAGAACATAAGAACATGTTAAATGACACCATGGAGATGCAATCAACCAAATCCAGACTGTAGGTGTTATGGACTGAATTGTGATCCTTCCCCCCTCCAAATTCATTTACTGAATCCCTAACCCTAAATGTGACTGTATTTGGAGATAGGGCCTGAAAGGGGATAATTAACGTTAAATGAGATCATAAGGGAGGGGCCCTAATCCAACAGAATGGTGTCCTCATAAGAAGGCGAAGAGACACTGGAGATCTCTCTCTTTTTTTCTGTGTGCACACACAGAGGAAAGGCCGAGTGAGGACACAGAGAGAAAGCAACCCTGCTGGCATCTTGATCTTGGACTTGTAGCCTCCAAAAGGTGAGAAAATAAATTTCTGTTGTTTAAGTCATCTAGTTTAGGGTATTTTGTTATGGCAGCCCAAGCAGATTAATACAGTAGGAAACTCTACAGGACAACCAACCTGGTTTCTTCCACAAATAAACTGCAACAAGAAAAAGAAAAGAGAGAGAGGGAGACAGAGCTAGAGGAGGACTCTAAAGATTAAAGAGACTTAAAAGACACATCCACCAATCCTATGCATGGGCCTTATTTGGATCCTGATTTAAACAAACTGGAGAGAAGAAAGAGAGAGAGAGACAGAGAGAGCTAACCACATTATTTGTGACATTTATGAGACAATTGGAGATTTGAACACTGGATATTTTATGATATTAGAGAACTTTTATTATTTCTTTTAGATGTGATCAAGTTATTGTGATTATGTTTTTTCCTTAACAAAGAGTATTTATTCAGATGCATACTGAAATATTTACAGATGAAATGATATGATGTCTGGGTTTTGCTTCAAAATAATATGGGGGGCACGGGGTGATAGGAAAAATGAAACAAGACTGACTATAGGTTGATAGTTGTTGAAGCTGGTGATGGCTTCACATGGGTTCATTATACTGTTCTCTTTATTTTTGTGTACATTTGAAATTGTCTATACTCAAAAGTTAAAAAAATTAATAATGGTTTTATAATAACTAGAAAAATCTTTTTCTCTTAGACTCAGTAGTATCTAGAAATACAGCCTACTGTATTTATTGTTTTTGACAGTAACAGGACCTTACAAGCAAGGGGGATCTTGGCAAGAAAGTTCCGGTGGATGTATGAAAGCTTCCATGCATGCATGTGCAAGAATGGTTCTTGGCTTTAATGTTCAATAAATGTTTATTATCCTATGAGTGAGGCATACTCCTGGGTGCTACCAACAAGATGGTACAGGCCCTGACCTCTTGGAGCTTACATTCTAGTGGGGCTGATTGACAAATAGCAAGTAAGCTGATTGATAGACTTTTAAAATGTCTTTTGAACTACGATAAGTGCTATAACAATAATTAGGACTGAGATACTGAGAACCTTGTTTAGATGGGGACTCAGAAAAAACTTACATGAAAAAGGTGTCATAAGCTGAGAGAGATCAATAAGATGAGAAAAAAAGAACCAGCCCTGCGGACAGTGTAGAAGAGCATTCAGGTGCGGGAACAGTGTGGGCAAAGGCCCTGCAATGGAAGAGAGTGTGGTTTGTTGGAGGAACTGAAGAAAGCCATTGTGGATGGGCTGTCGTGAGCCGAGAAAACATGGAGTACCTGAGATGAGGTTACAGACCACGGTGGGGACTAAATCATGCAAAGCCTTTTAGGCCACTGTAAGGAGTTTGAATTTTATTCTGAGAGCTGTGGAACCCACTGGGGATTCTAAGCAGGGAGTTTGACTTGCCACAAGATTACAGAGGAAGTTTGGGGAGGGGTGGTGGGGCAAAGAGGGTTATGAGAAGCAGGCAAATAGGACTGTCTTCAGTCTGGGCCCCTGGAGCTGACTTGGGATTCATGGAACAGCAGTAGGATCTCCCAAGGTGTATCCTGTGTCAATAGCCTCAGGAGATAGTGTCTTCCTGCCTTTCCCAGTCCCCAGTGAGCTGGCTGTTAAGTAGGAGGATACTCTTGTTATCTGTTACTATGTAATGAACCATCCCCAAATTTAGTGGCTTAAAGCACAGAAATTTCTCAGGAATCTGTAATTTGGCCAGAGCTTGAGGGGTTGACTTGTCTCTGCTCTCTGTGTATCTGGGGCCTCAGCTGGACTGACTCAAATGGCTGGGGCTGGAACAGCCAAGGGCTGGCTTAGATATCACTATATAGTCTCAGGGCTTCTCTATAAGATTTCTCATGTGGTATCTCCAGCATGTGGCCTCAGGATAGTTGGACATCTTACATTGCAGTTCAAGGCTCCAGGAACAGGTGTTCCAAAAGAATAAAGTGGAAGTTTCAAGGCCATTTTGATCAAAGTCCAGAAGTTACACAGTCTACTACCACCAGATTATCCAGATTATATTTGTCGCATAGCCAGCTCTAATTCCTTTTGGGAGGGGACTACATAAGGGCATGATCATTGAGGGGGAGCAGCTTACAGGCTGGCCAATAAGAGCTCATAGATTTGTGTAGACTGAATGTGGGAGACAGATGCTCTGGTGCCCCCAATGGACTTGCTCAGGAGAGCCATAGGTAATTGTGGTTGGCTAACGGTTATGCTTCCATTTTGCAGAGTGAAGTATTGCATCTGAGAAGATCTGAAGTACTTGGGGCAGCAAACAAGGTTTTAGAGGCTGTTTGGGGAAGGCAAAAGCGAGAGGTGAGGGAGCCAGAAGAGGATTCTGAAGGGAACCAAAATATCCAGTGAGGAATTCAAGAAGTTTTTGCTTTGTGATGTGTGAAGTCAGTCCCCTCTCTCTTCCCTCCAACAAAATCTTCAGAAAGTTACTTCTGTTATCGCACTGTGGATCTGTTTTGAGGGACACATCAAGTGCTGAGTTCTGTTTCAAGGAGGGCTGAGGGTAAGAGCAGATGCTGTCCAAGGGAGCCTGGCCACTCTAGGAATACTAAAGAACAAAGGAAAAACTAAGTAAACAAATGAATTAATTAATTAATTAATGAGTGGATCTTGGAACTCCTGCGATCCTCCAGTAGCTGATCATCATCCCTGGCAAGGCCTGGAATCACTTCAGTTCAGTCTCCAGCCAAATTCTGGAACTGGCCAATTGGCCGGCTCCATTTCCTATCTCTTTTCTATCCAAACTTTCCTTCTGTTTTCTTTTCCTTCACATTGTGGGTTTGGGGATTGAAGTGATTTCTGTAGCATGAACTCTTTGTTTATTCATTCTTTAATTTTCTGACGTGTATTGAATGCTGTGTTGGGTGTGGGGCCATGTGTGATGGGGAATTCTGAGAAAAGATGGACTTCACAGTCAGCCAGCGAGATAAGACTGGACTATTGTAAGAGGCAGGAAGAAGTAGCTGCCACAGAAGAGACAAAAATAAAATGCTGTAACTGTTCAAAGATGGGGTCTCAGGGGGCACAGTGCAGGATAGAAGGTTGAGAAAGTCTCATAGAAATGGTGACATCTAAGCCAAGCCTTAAATTAAGGGTGACATCTGAACATGAAGAGAGAAGGATTTGGGGGTTAGAGATTGGATGAGGGGGTAATTCCTGACCTACCCACGCTGCTTTCCACATTAACATGCTGCTGACCTGTGTCCAGGCCCTTCTGGATCCTTCCTCAGTGCTGTCCCGAGCCAGAGGGGAGATGCATTGACATGTTAATAAAAGAAAACCAGCCTCAGGCTTTTCCACCCACCGCTGAAGAAACCAAGGTTCTTTTTCAACTGTGACCTTTTGGGAACAGCTCCCCCTACCCTGGTCACCCAGTCAGAGAAGGGAAGAGCTAGAGTTGAAAAGAGCAATAGGATGGTACTACCAGAGGCCTGGGATGTGGGAAGGGAAACTGAGGCCCAGAGAAAGAACATTGACGCTGTATTCCCTTAGCAGCACTCAATGAATAAATGAATTAATGTAGATGTCTGTTTGTTGCCCCACTTTGACAGTGAGCTCCTCAAGGGCATGAGCTGAGTCTTACGCGTCTTGGTGTCCCCAGCACGGGACCTAGAACATTGTAGGTGTGCAGTATATGGTAGCTGAACTAGCATTCTACTGCCCTGGTAGTGATTCTCAATGCATGGTCTCTGGAGCTGTAGTGTCAGCATAAGCTGGGGACTTGTTGGAAATACAAACTCTTGGGGCCTCACCCTAGACCTACTGAATCAGAAACTCTGGGAGCAGAGTCCACAAATCAGTGTTTTAGCAACTCCCCTGGGAGATTCTGATGCAGGTTATAGCTTGAGAACCATTGTTGTAGGATATTTGAGCCAAAAGACTTGCTCTGGCTTCCTTCAGCACATCAAGAACTTACGCTTTTTATATACAACAGACACATCTTTATACTCCCACCCCCTTTGCCAAAAAAAGAGAAAAGAACAGAAATGCCACAAATATATTACCAGTGACCAGAAAAATATAAATCAGTAGTGGCAAGTTGTTATCCTTCCTGAAAAAACATAAACTTTGCCTGTTAAAAATACATTCAGTGGGGCCCAGCCTGGTGGCCAAGTGGTTAAAGTTCTGTTTGCTCTGCTTCGGCAGCCCGGGTTAATGGGTTTGGATCCCAGGTGCAGACCTACTCTGCTCACCAGCCATGCTATGGAGGTGTCCTACATACAAAAAGATAGAGGAAGATTGGCACAGATGTTAGCTCAGAGCTAATCTTCCTCAAGCAGAAAAAGAGGAGGATTGACAATGGATGTTAGGTCAGGGCAACCTTCCTCAGCAAAAAATTTAAAAATATATGTATATATATTCAATGATTTCAAAACAGACTTTTTATAGAATAGGAAGAGGGCAAAGAAAAATGTCAAAAAAAATTGAGCTGTAGTTTAATGTGAAACTGCCACTCCTTTCAAACTGCTCATCCTCCTTGTCAATCTCATTGTCATCCCTGATAATTCCTAGGAGCTGCCACCAATTGATTCCTTCTGGAGTGGAAGATCCTGTAAAATTCATTATTTTCTTGATCACCGACATTGCTTCAGTACTTATGGGACAGGCAGAATTGACGGGATCTTCTCTCCCTTCTGTATTTTTGTACTTGGCAGATAAGAAGAGCAAGGGAGTTTTGCATATGTCCACACAAAATCAATCCCCAAGTATAATCTCGGTCCTCACTATGTGCTCAGTACTATGCTGGCTTTGTAGGGAATATAGTTGGATTTTATTCCTATCCTCAGGGAACCCCCAATCTGGTAGGATGAGTATATGCAGAATGAATGACTTAGCTTTTGGATTAGGGCTTTCCAGCTTACAAAGTGTTTTTGCAGAGACAGTTTCATTCGATCCTTACAACAGATCCTGGAAGCAGCACATAGTGGCTATATCAAGGTAAATCCAAATCTGGAGCTACAAAATGACCTGGTGATAAACTACAAGGAAGGCTCCCTGACTTACAAGCATTCCTTGGGCGGCTATATAGGTGAGTATAGTCTCAGGTAGGCAACAGAGGATTGTGACTGTATCTAAGAGAGCATAAATCCAACCAGTTATACAAGATGTGATCTGAGAAAAAATGTGTTCTTTTAACTGACGCCCACTTGATAGACTAGCCACGTTGGCTGATGTGCTGTTTTCTCTGTAAGACATCCCAATGAATGCCTACATCTCACTAAAAGCTTCTGGCTGGTAGTCCAGTCTCTTGTGTGCTTGTCAATTATCTCATAGGCATTCCTAGTTTCTCCCAAACCTGTTTATGCCAGTCGTGCTGATTTGCAATTATACAGTTAAGTAAAATATTATGTTAACCAATGAAATAATGAGTGTAAGAAAATAATGAGTTCTTGTTTTTATGAAAATTAAGTTGGGTGCTGTGAAAAAACTTGACAAAGATGTTTTTATTAAAGTAAAGTTGCTATTGAATGATATGTAAATGAGACAACTTTGTGATGAAAATTGTAAAATCTAGAAGGATTCTGCTCTCACATTGCTTCATAGGGGTCTTTATGTTCTTGCTCCACTTTACAGAAATCTAGACTGGAAATTGTAGATGATGCCTTGCGGGTGGGCTTTATGAAAGGGAAATGAGGTAGATTTTAAGGAAAAGGCCTTAGCCCTATATCAAAAGATTGGCACATAAAGATGTGTTTAAATGTTTCGGAATAAATTGTTAAATGCGTTCTTTTTTATGATTTCCTCATTTTTTCCAATGAACTCTTTTTCAATTTACTTTTTTGAAATATTCTACTAAGTGTTTCTCAGTTTTGTTAGATAAGAGGGCTTGCACTGATCTACATTGTCATGGGGCCTAAACAAACAAGTCAAGGGTACAGGAGAGTAAAATGTTGATGGTGTTCTCCAGGGCTGTCCATTGGAGAGAGGAGCAGACTCAAATTATTGCTCCTGGGAGCTCCTTCCTAGTGGAGAGTACGGGTGTTTAAGCTCATCATAGACTGATGTCATGACCATTGGGATTATTCAGCATTCCCCCTTGTTCTGATTTCCTCTTCACTGAGAAATCCTCTGTCTATAATCTGGCCATCCATGTACATTTCCTCTTAGAAGAGAATGGGCAGATGAGAGAAGACTTGAGTCTTGATTCCTGAAGTTGTTAACATTTTTCATTGTAAATAGTGAATTATTACAATAATGTTTAATTTGTAGGGGACAATACCTACTGCCTCTTCTGATGCTTCTAGTGAAACACACCTTAAAGAGGGTGGAAGTTACCCAACAGTATTAATATATCTGCCGATTTTTTTTTTTTTGAGGAAGATTAGCCCTGAGCTAACTACTGCCAGTCCTCCTCTTTTTGCTGAGTAAGCCTGGCCCTGAGCTAACATTGTGCCCATCTTCTTCTACTTTATATGTGGGGCGCCTGCCACAGCATGGCTTGCCAAGCAGTGCCATGTCCACACCCGGAATCCGAACCGGCGAACACCGGGCCCCTGAGAAGCGGAACGTGCAAACTTAACTGCTTCGCCACCGGGCTGGCCCCCCAGATTTTAATTTGGGATCACAATGGGTAATGAGGTGCCTACACTGTGAGTGTTCAATAAATGTTCATGAAATTAGTAGAAATTAGATATCCTGTGATAAGACCGACTATGGTATCATAGAAGATTCCAGTATAACATAAATTTTAAGAGTATGGGCTCTGGAGCTAAGCAGACTCCTCCACTTACTGGTTGTATAACTCTGAGCTTTAGTTTCTTCATCTGTAAAATGGAGATATTTGTTGATAAAGATGAAATGACATGATGTACTTAAAATGCTTTAAATGTTCCTGGTATACAATAATTGGTCTTCACCTTAATTGAAATTCAGGCTGGTCGCCCTTTCTGTACATACTGCTTTGTAGCACTTGGGAGTGAAATCCCCTCGTTTTCCCTTTTTCTATTTGCCATGGAGTCCAGAAGCATTTTACAAACTCCTGTCAATTCCAAGTCATTGCTCTTCCTCCTTCATTAAAATAAGCAAAATAAACAAATGAGAGCATGTCTCTTCTACTTTTGAGCACATCATTTGACTATAGAAACCTCTACCCTCCCTGGCCATTGTCAAGATCCAAACATCAAGTCATTTCCTCACATCATCACTGTCTTCTCCATCCCAGTTCCTCATTCTTGTGGAGGACTCATGTATTAATTATCCATTGCTGTGTGATAGATTAACTCAAAACTTAGTGTCATAAAACAACAAACATTTATTATCTTACAGATTCTGGGGGGTCGGAAATGTGGAAGCAGCTTAGATGAGTGGTTCTGGTTCAGGGTCTCTCATGAAGTTGCAGTCAAGATTTTGCTGGGGCTGAAGTCATCTGAAGGCTTGACTGGGGCTGGATGCTCTGCTGCCAGGATGGCTCCTTCGCATGGCTATCGGAGGGAGGATCAGTTCCTCACCATACGGACCTCTCCCTAAGGACACCTGAGTGTCCTCACAACACATCAGTTGGCTTCCTCCAGTGTGAATGACTCAAAAGAGAGCAAGAAGGAAGACGTAATACCTTGGATCCTAATCTTGGAAGCCACACAAATGTCATTTCCACCACACTCTATTAATTAGTAGGAGTAAGCCACTGTGTCTAGCCCACACTGAGGGGCAGGGGAATTAGGTTTTACCTTTTGAAGAAAGGAGTGTTAAAGGATTTTTGGACATATTTTAAAGCCACCACAAACCATAAAATGCCTTAAACTTAAATCTTGATGAAATTTTCAAATACTCTCAAATCTGGCTTGGGCTTGTCATTGGCAAAGGAGCCCTCTTCTCTTTTCATATCCTTCCTTATGATACACACACATATTTTTCCATGACTTAACTCCTCTTTTCCTTTATTTTAATTAGTTTTATTGGCATAAAGCAGGTAATTTATGCTACATGGCTTGGCCTCTCCTGAAGATGCTCAAATAATTTATTTTTTGAGGAGTCTTTCTACTGTGATGTTAAAGAAAGTAAATTATGGACACTGTAAGGTACCATAAAATGATAATTACAGTTTGTGAGGGCTTGCTCTGTGCCAGGCATTTTACTAAGCACTTTATCTGTAATATCCTGTTTGATTACTTTACACCAAAGCTGTGAGGTACAGAGTTACCAGATATCCCCAAAAACCTTTAGCCAAGATAAGGGTAATGGCAGCACTTCCTACATTGACTGAGGCATGGTTGGAAAGAAGCTATAGGAAAGATTGATTTAAAAAAAATGAAACCAATGGAACAGAATAGATACCAGAAGTAGTCCCATGCATGGATAGAGACTTTATATAGAGCAGAACTGGCATTGCAGATTGGTGAGAAAAGTATAGACCATTCAACAGCTGGTGTAAGGGAAATTGGATGTACATATCGGAAAAAATGGCTTCCTACCTCACACTGTACGCAACAATGAATTCTAGGTAAATCAAAGAATTGAGTGCGAAAAGGTGGTTGAGTGTGGTCTGTGAACCTGCAACATTGGCGTCACCTGGGAGCTTCTTAGAAATACAGACTCTCAGGCCTACTCCAGGCCTATCTCAGAATCTCAGGGTGATTCTGAAGCATATTAAAGTTTGAGAAGCACTGGGCTAGACCACTGCCACTAATCTCCCCCAAAACCTTATAGTTTGCACATTGACTCTTGTGTGGGTTCCTTTGCAGTGTATGCAATTATTTAAATTCCTCTTCAGCATCTGCTGCTCATGTTTCTGGCTTCAGTTCTCCAAGAAGTCACCTAGTTCAGTTTCCGGCAGCTTCTGAGACTGACTGAGCTGGGCTTTCTGACTCTGCAAATAATTTGAAGACTGCTTCTGAAAAACCAGATGGTCCCCTAGGGACCCTTGGTAAGTGGGAGCTGACAGCTCTCACTTCCCTCTCCCTCACCGTCAGAGTTGGGAAAGAGATCCATTTTCCTCCCAGAGTGTCAGTCGGGCCTGTAATTTTGAATCACTGGATGTTAAGACTGGCAAGACCCGCCTCTGTCACGGAGAGTTTTCCTCCTATCAGCCCTGTGAACATTGCGACCTTGTCATTAGGAGAGCTACAAATAATACAATTTCTTTCTTTCTTTAAGGAAAATAAAAGCCTATTCAAATAGAGGGTCAAAACCTACCGGCTCTAGCAAGAAGAAAATGGCTGTGATTGTATTTTTGAAATGTTTTTGCCTTTCCTTGTATTTTTGCTGTGTTGA